AATGACCACAGGCTGGGATGGCCGGTGAAGCATTTAGCCGGAGGGTATTATTATTATTGTTGTCATACGCTGAAGATGCGGATTGTAATCAACAGCCTTGTTTATTCACTCCCCACGAGCCCTCCCGAACCATAGCGCAAACTGTGACGTGCATACAAGTGAACGTTAACCAGACTGCTTTGCCAAACGCCAGCTGTCAATGAACACCGACGCAATGAAATAAATTCGTAGCAACGTGGCGGCGACGTGGCCCAGCGGTACCGCGTTCTGCTGCTTATTGCAGAGGTTCACGGTTGGAACCCAACGGCCGCCCTGATTAATACTGCGGATGCATTCAAAGTGAAAATTCTACGCGCAGTCTGCTTCAGAGTGGATGGATAAAGATCCCGTGATGTCATTCGCAAGAGTGCCTACATTGTGTGCCGGAATCACGGTCCGCATTTTGATAAAAAAAACGTACCCAAAAATGACTCGACTGGAACACACGTAGAAATTATCGCCCAACCCTCCTGCAAAAACTTGGTGGGACCATCCTGAAAAACAGTTGTGGGACTCCTGGGTGAGGCTTTCCTGGGTAAAAATGTGTCGCAGAAATCATAAATAATCAAGCCATGTATGTACAGTACGTTGAACTTCTTTTGCAACGCACGTCGCCAACAGGACTAATCAGAGGTGCGAGTTCGTGTATTAACCATATGGGTCCCATTGTGTGTCTGTGTTTTATTCTGCATAGGCAGAAAGCTATTGGTGCTGCTGCTGCGTGTAGCCACGCAATGTGAGAGTCCATTGTAATCATTGTTTGTGTGCAAAATATAGTTTTGAACAAAATCATTCTAACTCAATATGCAGTTATAAAGGTTATACACGTAAGTGATTGACAAAGATTACATATGAGGATGTTTTCTCCATCGAAATGTGGATGGGAAAAAATAACTTACATAAAACCGTTTCCAGACAGAAAAATATAGTGAGGAATTTTGCTGCGTCGGTGTTCGCGATTGCACTATGGGGCACTACTGTGTTTTAGACATTGTGTTGTTTGCCACAATGTATGTATTTTGAACTTCTTTCGCACCGTACGTAGCCAATCTCCGATAAGCACGGTTGGCTACCTAACATACATGCATACAACCGTGCTAATCGGAGGTGTGGGACGATGTCCATAGACGCTCCCAGCATGTGGAGCGAAATGTCAAACAATGCCCAACAACTCCAAGTACAACCGAAAAACACATCAAAGAGCTCAAGTCAGACTGATGTCCCATTGGAAACACATTTAGAGACAGTATGATCTCATTCAATATTCCCAGCAGCTGCAGTATCGAAAGGTTCCTGTGGGATTTGCTCCGAATAAGAGTTGTTTACGTTATGAAAAGAAGTAACGCATGTGCTGAAATATTCTGTACAAATAACAATTTAGTACTCTAGTTTAATTTATTTGAAGGTGGCTCAGAGGTTAGACGGCTGATGTGGCACCACTGAGGTCCTGGCAACCAACCATAACAAAAGCAGGTTATCAAGCGTAATAAGTTGGTGGGTTCAGCCCAGTCACCAATGACGTGCACAGAAAAAAAAAACTTCATAAGAAATATGGTTGCACATTTAATTGGGCCGAATTGGATTTGCCCTGCACTGAACATTTAAACGTATTCGCAATAATTATACATTTTACCGCAATTTGCAACCCCGGTCAGGAAATCGTACGGGGTGCCTCAAAATCAGTTCTCGTTATATCGAAGCAGTCGGAAGACGAATGTCAGTTCAAATTTAGATTTTTTTTACTGTTTTATGGGAGGACCGGTGTGTTATGCTGCAACGGTCTACCGCCAATACGTCCATGACACACTGCAGCTGGGCAGGTGGGAAAGCGCTGGCACCGAGTGTGGATAAGAAGTCACTTGAGGATATTTAATTATAAGTTCTGTGATGTCTTCTTCCACGGACTGTTTTCTAACATGAGGTGACGCACTGCTCGGTATGCACGCTGAACTTCTTCCGCACCGTATGTAGCCAACCGTGCTAATCGGAGGTGCCGGGGAAGGAATTAAATACAAAAAGCAGTTCTAAAGAAATTCGTTTTTAATCTAGATTTTAAAGTGCATAGCTCCAGTAGCTTCCAAATATCGGAAGGAAGAGGAGTTCTGAACGGATTTTCTGGTCTCCTGGCCCGATGCAGATAGCGCATTCTCGATAAAAAAATTCCTTAAAAATGCAAAATACATACTAAGCTAAGATTTGGTCAGTGAGCTTCTTCACGGCACATAGAAGTCAGAGGAGGTGTGTGCTACGAAGGGCCATTGCCTGAAACATCGTCGCTTTATACTTTATATTTTCAAGAAAACGTTATTGACGAATGTGGAGTTGTTTTCTCATGGTGATTGTGCACCACTTTCAACGCAGTGTCACCAAATAATTTGGATAAAATTGGGAAATAAAACAAAAATTTGTAATATAATTTATTAATCCAGAAAATCACGAACGTCTGGATAATTCTCAGTAGGGCCCTGCATTTTTATGTTGGGCCCACTCCTTTTTTAAGTTTTGTACATGTGGCAAGAAACCAGAGCATTAAATTATGTATATAAATCTTACATTGCTTCCATGTGACAACAGTGGGACATAAACTGTCAATTCACCCCTCTGCTACGTTGCGAGTCAAAGTACTTGTTGTTAAAGTCATAAATCTATGGCACAGCGCCACTGTGCATAACCAGATATTTACATTGAAAGCATCATGCTAATGTTCACATACATAATTCAGTGTCTTGAGAACAAGCTCAAGATGTTCACTACCTGCAGTAATGTCCAATATGTTGACAACACAACCCATTATAGCCACTGTATTATGTTCCACAAGTAGTGTGGCTACAGTTGTATGTAACCCTATGGCTACATTTCCCTACCAAGTACTTAAAACCCCATAACGTTCTCGTGAAAGTGTAAAACCGTGTAGCTCTGCAATTGCTTCCTCCAGCCACTGCTGGAGGAAGGGCCTCCACTGAACGGTGCTCTAAAGAGGTCCCTCTCGAGGGTATTTGGCCTACTCTTCCATGCTGGCCAAACGTCTTAGAAGAGGTGATAGAGCCCACTCTTTACTCCACGAAAGGGGACCTGCCTATTAACAGTAACTGCGGTGTATCCAATCGTACTCTGGGGTCGACAGAACCGGGGAGCTTAAACATATATCTGGAGATCGAACCGGCGACCTCCGGATTTCAGCTCCGGTGTGCTGCTGACCATGACACCTAAGCAGATCCACCGAACAATTACTGATGGGGCATCATTGACCCTAAATTTGATTTCGCTTCAGCGCCGCACAATAATTGCCGCTCATTGCATGAAATCGGCTGACTCGGCATGCACACGCCAATAATTATGAATCGGCATGGGTTAATTACGTCTTTAATCTTGATTTTAATCTGGACTTTTATCACGTCTTCCGGGCTGGCGAGCGAAGTGATACCTGAGCAGGACCCGTCACCAGATGGAGGGACACGTCACCATGTAACACACCCGATGGTCAAGCGCACAGAAGGAATGGCAGGCGAGGAGTGGAACGCGTCCAGAGAGTGGGGTTTTTAGCACTGCGTGGAGACGGAGCGGCGAAAGCAACTCGGAGTGCCGGCCCCAGGTGGATAATTATTGCATCGCGATAACGTGAGAGGCTGTGGCGGCGACGGCGGGCTTCATCCTGCAGTGGATTCACCATGGATGATGATGATTGATGATCATAATATTGCACTGTACTACACAAGCACGTGTACAATTACACGTTTGCATGTTGTTGGGTTTTTTGTTTGTTTGTTACCGACAGCCGCTTACCGCGACCCAACAATGCACAGAACTCATCATAATAATGCCTCCCCCGCCTGTGCGTAGCCACGCAGATGAGCACGGTTGAAGAGCGTCACCACTTGGAAAGTGTTGCGGATGAAAGGGGACAACTTGCACACGGACACACGCGCACACACACACATAGACACACGCGCACACAGACACAAAGACAAAGATCCCCGTATAGCCTTACCAGACTGTTGGGGCAAGTGCTATTAGCGAGCACCTTCACCCACGACCCGTCTCTAGATCGAGACACGCGCGCGCACACACGCAGACACACACATAGACACACGCACACAGACACACGCACACAGACACACGCACACACAGACACACACAGACGCACACACACAGACACACGCGCACACACACAGAGACACGCACAGACACACGCACACAGACACACGCACACACAGACACACGCAAGGGCGCGGGACCCCGCGCGGGACCCCACACGACACACGAGTGCCCACACGGAGACCCACGGCTTGTCCAGCGGCCGCTGTTCCAACCCAACGAGTGGTGGGGGGGAGCTCGCCAGGATTGTGACTTTGTGATTATTCCAAGATGTGGTCAAATCCACAGTTTCACTGCATTCTCTCGGCAATCGTCCAAGACTCTACAGTACGCGCGCCTGTGTGTGTCCACACGCACGTCCTGCGAATGAGTGGCACACTGCACCAAAGCGCCTTCTTCATCCCCGACGCTGGTAGCGGCATCCCATCCACACCGTACACCCCCCCACCAAGCACAATGGGAGGCACGGACGCGCTTTGGCACGCGACCACCAACCACACCGCTGCACGCATTGACACTCGGCACACACAACTAAACACCTCGCTCTCTCGCACTGTGTGTGAGAGAGCGAGCGAATGTTATATTGACTGGCTACAGTGTGGCCGGCCTTGCCCTTGCCGGGCTTACTCAGGGTCCACACGATAACAGCACCACCACCACCACTCCTTACTAGCCGTGTGCATCTTTGCAGCGAGCCCGCTGCGTCTTGGCACAGCGGCGTTGCGATGTGCGTACGCGTGGCTTGTCACCGCTGCGTGTGGCTGTTGAACGTGAATGAAGGTGTTTTCATTCCTTCCCTCGCTGTGTTGGTTCTAAGGCAAACACACCGACGCCTACTACTAACACTACAATGCGTTCTTTCTTACCTCTGGATGGCTGCTGCTGCTGCACCACCACCACCAGCAGCCCCCCTTGAATGGTCCGGGCTGTTCCCTGCCCCGCGCGCTCCGTCACCACGAGTGACACACTCGCATGCCATGCAGCATTGTTCTTATCAACGGTGTGTGTCAGTGCGTGTGTGCGTGTCGGTGTGTGTGTGTGTGTGTGGGGGGCAGGGCTTGGCTGTTGTGCTGGCTGGCAGGAGAGAGATTTTCGCCCGTGTGGTGGATAGGGGTAAGGGGAGAGAGAGAGAGAGAAATAAATAGCTCTGGGTTGTTGAGTCCCGCTGATGTAACCAGACCGCACTCCCCATTGGCTGCTGTATTTAGCTGGCAGGCAAGGCGAGCTCCTGGAATAAGGGGTTTGGTGCTGTTTGACTTTGATAATTTAGAGTGTTGTGATGCTGTTGTGATGTCTGAATGTGGGGTTTTTAAAAACTACAATATTGCACAAATGGCAACAAAATCAGACACGTTTAATCAATACTGGAGTATTTTTGTAGTATTCTTCTGATAAACTTAAGCAAACTTTTTTTCAGAACTTGCTTAATAATAAACTGGAGTGTGTTTCTTCCAATGCATAGATAGGGCAGCATATAAAACGTATCATGAAGTGCATATCGAATTGATGTTGTGATGTGCATGTGTGTAGTGTACATGTGGAGGTGTATACAATGTGGTTGTATATTGTGGGCATATTTAACGCGATTGAATATCTTCAAAGATACACCTGTCATTTGCCTTAATTGTTAGAAGATTACATTTTATAATACAGCAGCGTATTATATCTGTGCATACTTTGGAGTGTTCGCTGAGAATATATATCCGAAGTGTACTTTCCCCAGTCAAGCCCACTGAGCTAGGAGGCTACTTTTCTAGGGCAACTCGGCCGGCAGACGACATCAAAGCGTTCCACAATATGTTGTATCTTCTACAGCAATTCGATAGAAGCGGCGTAAGCAAGGGACTGCCAGAGCACGTGTATGTACCTCTCTGCCTGACAGGGTAAAGCACTGCCTTGTGACAGGATGGGGAATGTTCTCAGCATCGCCCCTACCTGAGATATTTGACCAGTTGCGGTTGGAGATTTTTTTCTCTCTCTCTACAGTTTACATGTTATTGTTTTATTTTGGAGATATAAACAAATATATTGTTCAATAAGACTGTGGCCTTAAAAGGGTAAATATATACATAGTAATTGGCGACGTTTCGGGCAACAGGCCTTATTCATACCACTTGTGCCAGTGCATCTCATGCTCCAGCATGGCACATATACCCTACCACACTGAACCTATTTACTTACACAGCCTCAGTATACACACAAAGACAAAGATCCGCTGTGTAGCCTTTAACAGACTTATGGGGTAAGTGTTATTAGCGAGCACCTATGAAGGCCGGCACCGCATACGATGGTGGGGACGGTGGCCAACACCACGTCCGGCCGTCTTTGTCTCCCTAGTTCTTATGCTTTTATACCACACCAGGTAATCATTTGAGAGCGATTTACATATTCGCCACTATTATTGGTCATGAGCAGGAATCGAACTCAGGTGGCCGGATTAAATCGGCCAGTACGTGCGCTAACCACTCCACACTACTGCTCCCCACCAGTGATCATACACAGCTCTCTGCGAATGTTACGTTAATGCTAAACACTTGTGCTATTGAAGAAGGGCCACTGCCGGAAATGTCACCTATGATATATTTTCCTTTTAAAGCCACGGAGTCATTGACGGATGTATTGAGATGTTAGTTGGTTGTGCTTGTGCACCAATGCAATATCACCCAATAACGTGTTTAATTTGTTAGAAATGGTTTCTTGCGTTTGTTTCTAGCTTTCTCGAGGAAATGCGACCTGGTTAAAACTGACATTTAGCTACAACACAACACATCGGTGTATATATTGTACGAGTGTTCTAAACACGTGTAGTGACTTACTGAGAGACGATAAGACTTGGAGGCACTTATTTTATTTAACCGAGCACTCTAAGAACAATACACACCCTACGCTGGTACACGCTCTTCTGTCGGCCGCTTATGCACAACACTACGTGGGCCACTAGCCTATACACAATACTACGTGGGTCGCTAGCCTATACACAACACTACGTGGGTCGCTAGCCTATACACAACACTACGTGGGTCGCTAGCCTATACACAACACTACGTGGGTCGCTAGCCTCTACACAGCGCTAGCCGTCTAACACTGATGACGCTGAACCGAGACAGCCAACTACCGTCTGGCAGCGCAATATCGAGTGAGGATGACAGCGACGAGACGACAGCGACGATGGCGACGATCTGCAACAGCACGACTGAGATCCCACTTCAAACGACAGCCCCGAGCTCTCACTCAGGGCCCCCTTTTATGCTCCCAGCATCGCCTCGTTCCGCCCCAGCCACGCCCCCTCTCTAGAACCTACCAGCGGGTTCCCGGGCACCCTCCACGTGCCCCTTCTGTAACCTTTCCCCCAGATATCCCCTCTGGTGTGTCACGTGGCCTGCTGCTGACATCAGGGCTGCTGTAAGCCGCAGATCCCCTTCCCCGCCAGCAGCCAGCGCTATGCTGCTACATCGCTAATTCTACGTCACTACACACGTATAGTGAAACCACCCTGTTATTATTCATAATTAATTTTAATATATACCACGTTCTGTATGTGGAAAAATAAAATAATAATAATTAAAAGGACTTGCAAACTCACGCCTTTACGGATGCAACACTTCACGTCACGATATTGACTTCCATAGCAATAGCTCAAACACATCTGGTAGCCTATTGTACACGTGCAGTCCGATGTAAATCAACAGCTGGATAAGGGCTTCCGAACTTTGGTTCACTGTGGGTTTCTTAAGTGGGGAAACAGAGATGAGGGAGCGTAGAAGTGTAGTACAAAAATATACTGGGGGTTTTGTTTCTATTCTGCTACCCATAACGTAGGCCCAGATTCTAGAACACCTGTTATGCTTTGTGGTCGCCCCATCCAAGAACTATGCAAGCTCCACCCTTGCTTAGCTTGCGAGCTCTCAAACAAGATCGGATGCATTCTGCGTGATTTGGTCATATGCATGTGCTATTGTGGTCATCGCGTTATTACATAGAGATGTACTACCCCAACAACTTGGTGAAACGATTTACAGTAGAACCTCGGAGATGGAACGCCCCAGAACTCGAACAATTCGGTGAATGAACAAAATTTTCGACCATTTTTTGCCCCGGACATCGAACAAAAATTCGGAGGTCGAACAACTTGAAAGAACCGGTTTGGGCCGAGACGCGTAGCCATGGCGACCGAGACGCGTAACCAGGGCGACCGAGACGCGTAACCAGGGCTACCGAGACACGTAACCAGGGCGACCGAGACGCGTAACCAGGGCTACCGAGACGCGTAACCAGGACGACCGAGACAAAGGCGAATGACCCAGTATACGCGTAGCTCTCGCCCAGTGCAGACCCGCCAAAAACATCGTTCCGTTAACTTTTTCCTTACCACCTTCCACTCAAGCCATCCACTCTCCTTACTACAGGTAAAGTGAAGTTCAATGTTCATTTATTCTATTAATTATAACTGTGTTTCTTGTTTTTGTATGCTTTTATGTACTGTACTGTATTTTAATATTGTAAACTTTGTGTAAAAATGGCCCATAATAGCAGTATCCTTGGGTGGGGAACCAATTAATGCTATTTCCATTCATTCTTATGGGGAAAATTGATTTGGTGTTCTAACAAATCGATGTTCAAACACGGTTTTGGAACGAATTAAGTTCGATCTCCGAGGTACCACTGTATATGATAACTAGCCTTTTGTACGTCCAAGGACGGGTGTATTGCAGTAAATATGAAACTTGCAAGCGAAAAGCAGACCGTGACATTAATTGCATCAATTCGTGTGCAATTTGTAAGGGCGCGGTGACACAGACTTATTTCATTTTCAGGTTATAATCCCTTGTTCATCATGACGTCCTTTTTACTTTGATGTCTCAATAGCGTTACGGAGATCACGTGACGTGAGGGTTCTGCCTTTGTAGTGAGGGTTGTAAGTTGACGCTGAGGAGGGGGGAGGAGGCACCTCGGACCTCCCCCATGTGGAGTGACGTCAGCCGCTAATTATTATGAATGGGGAGGGGGCTGTCCAATTGGAGGACGTCACCTTATAATGATTATTAATGAGGGGGACTGTTCGATGTGGAGTTACGTAACCTGTTCATGATTCATCTTCTTTGGTTCTTTCGGTAAAGTCACGTAGAATGAGAATAAAATAATAAATTGATAAAATAAAATAACACAGAATATTATTGTGTTATTTTATTTTATCAATTTATTATTTTATTCTCATTCTACGTGACTTTACCGAAAGAACCAAAGAAGATGAATCCTTGCAGTCACGAAAGCTTTAAATCGAAACTGTTCATGATTATTAATGAGGGGGGCTGGTCGACGTGGAGTGACGTCACGAGCGTTGCACACAGACATTCTTGGCTCATAGTAGGTAATAATAATGGGGGGGGGGGGGGTGTCCATTTGGTGGACGTCACCTGCTCATGAATATTAATGAGGGGGGCTGGTCGATGTGGAGTGACGTCACAAGCGTTAAGGCCAGACATTCCTCGGTGATTATAGTAGGTATTGTATCTACAGCATACGATATATAGAGGCTATAGTTCAGAGTACTGTGCCGTATAAACAAAACATGAAATGTAGAATCACATAAGGCAGTTATTTTTACATATATGTTTTTGCAGTGTTAATGTCATTGCATAAGCAATCAACAGACCTAAGTAGATTATTTTTATATTCTTAGTTCTTTCGGTAAAGTCACGTTGAAGGGAAACAACAAAATAATAAAATATATATAAAACAATATTAGATTATTTTTGCCTGCCTTTCCACGAATTGGCTGATTGAGTTAGACTGCCTCCTGCCCGCGGTGATGTGGATACACGTCGTTGAACATATTATCCGCAAATTGACTCCGCTTATCTGAGAAATGTTGCGGATAACAGGAATCATTTGCAGCATGACTCCTATTATTCATTTAAAAATACTTAAATATAACAGCAGTTCATATTATTTGGGTCTTTCGGTGAAGTCACGTAGATAGAACAATAAAATCATAAAAAATAAAAATGAAAAGTGAAAAGAAATATAATAATCAGATGATGACGATTGCTTGTGGTGCGATCGAAAGGTGATATTTTTTATTATTTTTTATTCAGTTTATTTTAATTTTTATTTGTATTATTTTATTGTTCTATCTACGTGACGTTACCGAAAGACCCAAAGAATATGAATTCCTGCAGTCACGAAAGCTTTAAGTCAAGATTTAACAACAGTTGTTATGCGATTCAGGATGGATAACAGGAAGAAAAGGGGGTGCATATGAAAGTTTTGTGGATCCTACGGCACATACACATATACAGGATGGACGACAACAGCAACATTTAAAGTGTGTTGTTCAGAAAAATGTAAGGTATCTGAAAGAGAGGAAGAGCTAACAGAGAATGGCTTGACGTCGAACAGAGATTGGTGCCAGAATGAAGTGGCTACTTCTTGAGCATATAGGCACAAGACAGAGGAAAGTGGAAACAAATGATGAAATGTGTCAGTGGACACCTAAGGACTATCTGCCCATGGATCGTGATCATGATGATGACGGCACCCACGGATTGATCGGATCCGCGGGTCGTAGGATCGCGGATAAGATACATTTCTGCTCTGCTGTGAATGGGATCATTTAGTTGTACAATGCTGTGTAATTCATTGCTCACGGAGCCACAACCCAGAAACAGAGCAATCTGCATTGCTTAAATATTCACA